TGTGAGCCCAGATATTTGGCAGGGGGTAGGGGGGGAAGGCGGAAGGAATCAAAGTTACTGATTAACTGACATTAAGGAAAGAATCATTCCCAGAATGAGGTCTTAGTAACACATCAACATTTCTGGAAGATGAAACATTTTGGAGTGAAACACAAGAAAAAGCCACATGCCTGCAATCACACCCCATCACTCAGATTTTCTAGGATCATGGCCATCTCAAGGGCATTTTTCTGCTGCCTGTGCACACCAAGACACAATAGTTTTACTCATCAGTAGCCCATTAACCACTTCCTGGTGGCAGAAACCAATCTGATGGGTAGCTTGGAGAACTATGCAAATAACAATCTCTTTCTTCCCTTACCTTTCAATGGGAGCATAAAACATAAAACTCCATTTTCTTGCTTCCCTGTAAACGTGACCACTCAGCTCACCTTGATCAATCTCTCCCTGTGGCTATGTCTGTCTTCCATATTCACTCACTCCCTTTCTTTTTCTCTACCAATTATGGCCCTATCACCTTGGAAGATTTCTTTCTGAAAACCAAGGTCAGGTTCATGGGTGTGCAACCTTGACCCCTTGCTACAAGAGCTTCATGCTTAGGGTAATGCTTCATGGTCACTGTCTTGAGATTCTTAATTTTATCTTGAACCTGTGTTTTGTAAGTGAAGTTTAATGGAATAATGGACCATGCCTGTAAGCAGAGGAGATATGTACAATACGCATGTTTATTATTTTTTGCTACCCCATTCACATGTAATATTTGCAATAATAGCACAGAATTCCAGTGGATTCAAGATGCATGGAAATTTAGCAAAACTCAAAGGGAGTGTACAGAGAAGTGTTGGCACTGACAGCCCCAAAAGGCTACATGTTCTTCTTGAACCAGAACTTGTTCTGCAGAAGGAAGAGTGCATCTTATCATATTCTTTCTCCCTCATCTAACTTCCTTGTATTAGCCAGTTATGTTGAAAATGATGACATAAGAGGAAAGGGAAAGGTAGGGAAGCCCATAATTCCTTTTCTTTTCAGTCCCTCCTAACTCATCAGTAAGCTGAAGGTAACGTGTTTGCCGAGTATCAAGATAAAGTGCATATCAGGATGTGGAATAAAGACAGTCAAGTTAGTTTTGTGCCGTGTTTCCACAAAATACATATTCACATATGAGCTCTGAGATATAAATTGAGTGATTTTGGTGAATTCACAGATGAGTTAAAAGCTCTTATGTTTACGTTTAAAACTAAGTCATTTATTTTTCTTTACTTAGAAGGACTTAAAAAACAAAACACCATGCCAAGTTGGTGGGAGGGGCGGGGTATAAATTGTGACAAAAAAACAAAATAAAACAACACACACACACACACACACACACACACACACAGAGAGAGACAAAAAACAACAACAAACCTTTGTTTTTTAGTGCCCTTAACTGAGCTTTTTTCCTGCTTTGGAATGAGAGATACCAAGTTTTCATTTTCTACTGGGACCCACAATCATGTAATTGGTTCTGCTGAAGGCTTTTCATTTGGAACTGTGTGCCTCACTTTTACCAGTTAAGGCTAAGAAGCATTACATCAGTGCTGTAATATTCCTGAATTATGGAAAGGGAAGATCAAATTGGTGGCTCTTTAAAAACTCCTGGAAAAGTTTTTTGAGTTCTCAAGAACTTTTAAGCAAAAGTAATTCTCTAACAAGAATAATAAAAATATTTTTTGAAGTTTGTTTCTTCTTTAATGATACTGCATTATTTTAGAACTAAAAATTATTTTCCCTACTGCTTTCCCACAAAAATATATAGCATTTCACCTGTACTATAGGTTGCATAGACTTTGGTCAACAGAGGAACCACCATAACCCTGTGTTTTCTGGCTGGGTTGAGAACCTTACCACCATTTTATTCTCTAGCATAAATTGTTTTGGTGTGTTGTGTTTTTTTTGTTGTTGTTGTTGTTGTTTGGTATTTTTTTTTAGCATTACAAATAGTAGTACATATGTCTTTTTTTTTTCCCCATTGACACCCCCCCCCCCCCCCGGCCTACCCTTACTCACCTTTCCCCCCCCCCCCCCAGTGTCTTATACTCATTGGTTATGCTTATATGTATGCACACAAGTCCTTTGGTTGACCTCTTACAGCCCACTTCCTCCCTGGTCTACCCCCCCAACCTCCCCTGCCTTCTCGCTGTAGTTTGACAATCTGTTCAATGCTTCTTTGCCTCTGTATCTATTTTTTACCCATTTCTTTCCTTTAAAAAATCTTGCCTCTGCAGACTAGAAATAAACATATAACAAAAAAATGTTTGAGTCCCAATTTCAATGTCCAACAGTTCTGAGTCCCCATTTCAATGTCAAACAGTTTAAATGTGTTCTAAGTACAAATATAACTGACTTATAGATTAACTTTTATTTCATAGCTTATTTGTAAGTCAAGACCTGATTTTAGTTTGCATTTTCTTACAGTTTAAATATGATGCTTGATACACTAATTTGCTTCAGGACTAGAAAATTTGTTAATGTTTATTTAGCCAGTTTGGAGAGTTTTGTGTGCTATTTTCCTTTGGATTAGCCATGAAATTTGGTCAGGAAGAAGCAGGACGAATGGTCAGCAAACAGGCAAATGGGAAAAAGAAAGTTTAATATTTTGTACCAAGCTTCAGATAATGCCTACTCATATTCTTGCTTCTGTAATTACTACAAGAAATACTTAAGTCATGTTTAGTCATTAATTTCCTAAAGTTGAGATATTTTCTATGAAATTTTCCTATGAGAGTAAAGAAAATGTTCTACATGCTATTAATCTCTAGGAATTTTATTGGTCTTCTTCCATCAACAAAAAGAGTTAGGAATTTTCATTTTAAAAGGCAAAGAAAAATAGAAAAGAATTTCCTCTAGTCTCTATGTCTACTCTGATCACCTATATATATAAAAGTCTAATATGCAAAGTGTCTCCTCAGGAATTTGACTGGGAGACTGGGAGTTCGATTGCTCACTATGATGTGCTCTGGCCACCAGGGGGTGGCGAGAAACATGACAGGTGACCAGCAGTGGCAGGAGGGCACTGAGGGAGCAAGGGAAGGAGGAGGCAGGGAGGTAGGGAAGCAGGTGGCGAGAGAAGAAGGAGGAAGAGAGGAACCTGATCAGCCCTGAGTGATGGTCAGGCCTAGGGACCTTATCTGTGCATGAATTTTGTGCACTGGGCCTCTAGTGTTTATTAATTAATCTTCTGTATATTAAATTCGTCATATCTGCCTCATCTTTTCAATTCACAATCTTCTATAACTTCATCCTAATAAAACTTACTAGCAACAGTAGCAATAAACAACTATTTGAATTTTTAGGTTCCAAGTTCAATATAAACCAGCATTGCCTGTCTTGAGTTATATTCTTGATAGACTTTATTTTCTTTTTCTTTAACTGTATTTTATCCTTATATCTCCCTACCAGGTAAAGAAAGTAGTTGATAAAGAGGATGAGTACACATGTAATTTAAATAGTCTGTTTTGGTAAATTTAACATTCAACTTTAAAAAATTATATTTATATGAAAAGAGCCTTTTTTAAATAAAACGATTTTTCTGACATGTTTTGATTATAGAACATGTGTACTTTTTGCAAGAGAAGAGCCTGTCACAGATTGTAAAGAAAAAAAAAAAGCTTTGGCATCATTTCTTATTTGATTCATGATTAGAAAATTTGTTAATGTTTTGAGAGGTTTGTGTGCTACTTTCCCTTGGATTAGCCATGAAATTTGGTTAGGGTTAGGTGTTTATTTGCAAAAATTGTGTCTGATGCAGTCTTCATCTAATTCCATTGTTTTTAGAGAAGAGTGGTTTGTTTTATTTTTTTATGAAGACTGTTTTCTCTCAAAACTCTATTGGATTAAGCTTATTTCCCAAGTTAATAGCTCATATTAAAAAACTGCTTTTGTGTGGATTTTACAAAAACAACCTGAAGGCAGAGATTTACCTGCCAATGCTTTAGTCAATGCTCCCATTGGGAAACTATGAGGGAAATGATCAGAGCCTGCATTTCCAGAAACCTCTAGCATGGAGGTTATTCCACTGTCATATAGCAGCAAAAACAAACAAACGAAAAATCAATAGTTTGTTGTGTTTTAGCATTTACTGTATTTCAGGTACACACACACACACACACACACACACACACACACTCACACGTTACTTCCTTAATCCTCATGAAAACCCTGAGACACAGATAATAATTTAATAATTAAAAAAAAACAAAAACAAAAACACCCTGAGATAAAATGAAATTTGGGACCAGCCTCGCTTTCAGGACCACTGCTACCTACCACCAACAAGCTTTTAAACTCTCACTTCAATTGTATTTCCGTATCCTCTGTGTAAATTAAAAAGGCCCAAAGAGTTTAGGGGTCCTGAGGTCCCTGAACAACGAATACCATGGTTTTTTTCTAGAAAGGCAGGCATCCTGGCACTTGACTGGGCAACCAAGCCCAAATCGCTAACCCTCTCTCTATCCCTTCTGGGGCCTCTGATTTCTCACTTGGGTGATCAGAAACTTGGGGAAAGTTTCTTCGCCTTTCCGCCTTTCCTTGAACTAATTTTGGGGGTGAGAGGAAGAGAGAGGCAGAATCAGAAAAGTACGTCAACCGTCCTCTCATGGGTTGTGAAGGGCAGATCTGTTAGGTTAAACTCAGGGCTGACAACCTAGAGCCTTGCATCCAGCAGCGAAGATCCAAGTATTTCTGGAAGCCTGGGGCCGGGTTCACACCACGCCCCGCCCTACGCCCTGCACCTGGGCGGAACTACATTTCCCAGAATGCCATTCGACGCCGCCTCGCCCGGCGCCGGAGAGCGCTTGATGACGCCATCCACCCGCGCGATGTTTAGACTCCACTGATGTCGTGGCGCTCCAGGGGAAGAAGTTGGTGATTTGAGGGGCCAGGGTCCCGAAGGCGAGGTCCGGTGACCCCCGGCCCCTTCTTGCCTCCCCTCCGCCCGCCTTTCCCGTCTGTCTCCTGCCAGGATGAGGCGCGCAGGCCTGGGTAAGGAGAGGGCTGGGGTCCGAAGTTCAGCCCTGGAGCCGGCCGTGCCGGGCGCGGGGGCGCGGGAGGAGGTGGGACCCTCTTATGTCCCTGGAATCTGGGCCGGAGAGCAGGATGAATGGGGAGGTCTTTGGAGGCGGTGCCAAGTGGACACAGGCCATTTGTCTCAGGTCCTGAGGGGGTTCCTTAAGTTGGGGCCAGCCCCGAGTTTGAATGGTAGGTTTGGAGAGCGGAGTGGAGGACGTGGGGGTGGAGTGGCTACAGGTGCCAGCTCAGCAGCGAAGTCCTTTGGAGTTCGTGACCGACGACATCCCCAAAGGCTGGCTTCGGCTTCTTCCCTGCTGGCCCTGGAGGTGAAGTGTCCTCAGAAGCCAAGTTTGACAGAGTGTTGCATGCGAAGCACACTTTAGAATAAGGATAATGTTGGTCTGGTAACAGTTAAGTTACAAAGGTAAATGCTACGTGTCATTACTGTTAAAGTCCGAGACTGACTTCGGGGTCAGAGGCCATTCTACCCAGAACATGTCTTATCTGAGCCCCGTGCCACTGTGAAGGCAGTAAAATGTGGCCCTGCTTGGCGTTGGTTTTTGGCCTTTTGTTTACCAGCCAGCAGGAATAAGTGAGGCACGAGGACTCTTAACTGGGCCACTATAATGCACAGCTGTTACCACAGCATTTCCTGGTTCTGAAGTTCTCTATTAAGAGACAACCTAAAAAAGAACCCTGCTAAATCATCGTGCAGTAACCTGAGGGAAAAAAAATGTATGAAATGTTTGAAAAAAAAAAAAAAAAGATGTTACATGTTTTAATTGTTATGATAAGATGGAAAAAAAAAACTTTTCAAAAGTTTGATATTTATTTATTTATTTTAAAAATATATTTTATTTATTTTTATAGAGAGGAAGAGAGAGTGATAGCTGGAAACATCCATGAGAGAGAATCATCGATCAGTTGCCTCTTGCACACCCCCACTGGGGATGTGCCCACAACCAAGGTACATGCCCCCGACCGGCATCGAACTCAGGACTCTTTAGTCCGCAGGCCGATGCTCTACCACTGAGCCAAACCGGTTTTAGCAAGTGTCTGGTATTTAAAGTCAGTGAAAGTTGACAGTAACTCTAGACTTGTACATTGCTTAATATATTGTCGTACAAGAAACCACTTTGGAAAAATATAGTTTTTCTGAATACTTACATCATAGGAAGTTGACCAGCAAAATCGTAGAGAGAGAAAAAACTAATGTTGAGGATGCTTAGGTTTATATGCCTAAATGTTTTTCCTTTGTATCATTACTGAGAAAAACAATTTATTTATTGTGTACTTGAGTAAGCTCTAGGTATACAGTTATTATATTTGGTACCCCATTTATCCTCCCCAAAGCTTCCAGTCTAGTTGGGGAGTAGAAACACATTCAGAGGTTAATTCTAGTACAAGGTGGTCGTGAGAGATCCAAATGCCAGATAAGTGAATGTTTAGGCATGTCAGAGAGAGAGAGAGTGTGCTGTGTATTTTATGGAGACATAGGAACTTGACCTAGAGCTTAAAAATACAGGGTGGGAGAGGTAAGTTCCAGCTGGAAGGATGACACCATCCCCCAGGAAGAGTTGTAGGACTGGAATTACGAATGATGCCTTGAAGGAGTTATGGTCAAGCCAGTTTGATTGAAGTAGGAGACATGGAACCAGAACTACCAGCTTGTGGAGATCTTTGAGTGCCAGGTCAAGGAGTTTGGTTCTTATCAATAAGCCTATTAATCCCTTGAATATTTTGTTGAGCAGTGTGTTGTGATAAATTGCAGGAAAAGAATTTGACAGCTGGTGATTCTCAGCCCTGAATATACATTAGAATCACTAATTACCTGGAGAGCTATCAGCTATCTGGACACCCCCCTCCCTCCAGCTGAGACTAATTAAATTAGAATCTCTAGGCTAGAGTCTTTTTTTCTTTCAAGCTCCCTTGTAGTTGAGAGGAAATATGACTTAGGTGCCTGTCCATTGCTATCATTTTCATTGGTATGGGAGGTGGGATGTGTGTGTGTGTGTTTTAAGTATCAATGTGTGTTGACTTGGAATTTTAAATTTGGGATAAAGAAAGAGTGAACCTGATAGCTATTCACATGGAGAAGCTGTCACACTTCACATGAATCTCTTTAAGTGATTTGGCTCTGCTACTGATGGAAACTACCCAAAAGAAGTAGCATTTGTCTAAATCAGTGGTCAACAAACTGCAGCTCTTTGGCCCCTTGAGTGTGGCTCTTCCACAAAATACCATGGCCTAGGCGAGTCTATTTTGAAGAAGTGGCATTAGAAGAAATTTAAGTTTAAAAAATTTGGCTCTCAAAAGAAATTTCAGTTGTTGTACTGTTGATGTTTGGCTCTGTTGACTAATGAGTTTGCTGACCACTGGTCTAAATGGACAAAGATTTTGGTGATGGAAGGCTGGCACTCAGTAGCTTTCCTACAACTTTGATAGCAGTGATCCATACAAAAGGAAGTGGCTAACTTTGGAATAGCAATTCCTAGAATTTTATTTAACATTTTTAGTTTTTATAGTGGTAGGTGGGAGGTGATAGTATGTGGAACGTTTGAAATTCTTTAACAGAAGAAATGTGTATTGAAAGGTTGCTGGGTGATGAGAATTTTGCTTTCAATAAATGGAATGATATAGAAGTACTATAAAATTAAAATTAAGGTAAACAAAGAAAATAAAGCAAATAACCATTAATTTAGAAATGAATTCCTTGGTAAAGTTGTCAAGTGATTAAATTCAAACAGTCATTTATTATTTATTGGGCAAATGTTCTACATTTAGAACCTTAGTCATAAGAAGACATATACCTTTTCTTTAAGGATTTTGGTCCTCATTAAAGTAGAGTATATACAGCATATCATTAAATGATGGAATGAGAATGCATGTTTAAACGACTGTTTTAACTCAGTAGGGGAAACACTATGCTTAGTCACTTGAGTTCTTTTATAATAGCACATTAAGAGAGCTTTATGGGTAATATGTCAGCACTTGAGGGAATATTTGGGGAATGCAACTCTTTTTCTTCTGGAATATACTTGTTTGACATTTTGTGTTTGTGTGTGTGTGTGTGTGTGTGTGTGTGGTGGTAGAGATTGTGTGTCTGCTGCATATAACGTATTCATTATAGGGGATATAGAATTATGAGATATTGTTTCTGCCCTCCAAGAAGCTTATGATTCTACTAGTGTCTGGGTGCACAGATTCATGCACATTGAAAGGGAATTAGAATAAATATTTTAATATTGCTATTCACCCTTTATAAGTGTCAACCAAATTCATGATCTACAATGATAGATCAAGACACACACGTGCAGCTGGTGCCAGAGAGCTTTGTATGTATCATGCATGTGCGAGTCAACTTAGCCTTTTATTGTAGGAATCTCATGTCCCTCGTGGAAAGGGTTCCAATTCAGGGTTCGAGTTCTGGAGAAGGGCCACACACAAATGAAAAGACTTGAAGAAATGCAATTTGGCAATATAGGGGCCAGGCAGTAGCCCAACTCTAGTGGGAGAACTACTCCCTGCTCTGGCCCTGCCATCCCTTTTATTGAGGCTTTGGGGAAAACATCTTAGGCAAGATAAACAGAAATTTACATGTAGCCCTTAGGCAGGAAATAATAGAAACTTAGATGGGACAAACAAGGTGGAGGCTGCGTCAGCTAACAATGTCTCAACTAAAGGGTGAGTGGTTAGAGCAATTAATGTTGTTGACCAGCCTTCCTGGCCTCCTGTCAACATCTCTCTTTTAGTGAAACTGATTTGTTTCCAGCATTTTATAGATATTCTAGAGGCCTGGTGCACAAAATTTGTACATGGGGTGTGTGTCCCTTAGCCCAACCTGCACCCTTTCCAATCTGGGATCCCTACTATGATCCGGCCTAAGTGGACAGTTGGACATCCCTCTCACAATCCAGGACTGCTGGCTCCCAATTTCTCGCCTGCCTGCCTTCCTTCCTGATTGCCCCTAACTGCTTCTGCCTGCCATCCTAATCATCCCTTAACCACTCCCCTGACAGCCTGATTGATGCCTGCCTAACTGCTTCTCTGGCAGCCTGTTTTCCCCTAACTGCCCTCCCCTGCAGGCCTGGTCACCCCTAACTGCCCTCCCCTGCAGGCCTGGTCCTCCCCCCAACTGCTCTCCTCTACAGGCCTAGGTCCCCCCCAACTGCCCTCCCCTGCAGGCTTGGTCACCCCCAACTGCCCTCCCTTGCAGGCCTGATCCCTCCCAACTGCCCTCCTCTGCTGGCCTGATCGTCCACAACTTCCCTCCCTTGCAGACCTGGTCCCTCTCAACTGCTCTCCCTTGCTGGCCATCCACATAGGGGCAGTCATCTTTGACCATATGGGGGCAGCAATCTTGTGTGTTAGAGTGACAGTCAATTTGCATATAATTCTTTTATTAGATAGGATTAGATAGGATAGAGGCCTGGTGTGGGGGTGGGCCAGCTGGTTTGCCCTGAAGGATGTTCCAGATCAGGGTGGGGGTTCCCTTGGGGCATGGGGCGGCCTGGGTGAGGGGCCTGTGATGGTTTTCAGGCTGACCATGCTCCCTGGCATTTGGGATTTATTTATCTTGTATTATTGAAACTTTGTAGCCTTAAGTGGAGGCCAAGGCAGGCCAGGGCAGGCTGAAAGCTTGGCTTCCTCCATTGCTGGGGAAACCCAAGCCTCCTGCTCTTTCATGGCCACAGCCATCTTGGTTAGGTTAATTTGCATATTTGCTCCTGATTGACTAATGGGCATGGCTTGTGGGTGTAGTGGAGATATGGCCAATTTGCATATTACTCTCTTGCTTAATTAGACCTGCTTTCTGATTTAGCTAAAATTTTTCCAGCCCAGTGAAGCACCCCAACTTCTCTTTCAGGTAATTGTTAGCAACACAGCAGAAATATCAACACAAAGCAGATAGATTATTATTATAAATCATGCAGGGAGAACAAAGGGTAAAATATTTAACTGCAACAGTGTTTGACTATATTCTGCGCAGTGAGAAAACGTGAAATCATTTTCAAGGTCCACCATTTCTTCTTTTTAGTCAGGTCAAGTTTCTAAACTTTTTAAGACTACATTTTCCGACTAATGAAAATAGGATTCTACCAAGTCTCCTATCTACCCACTCCAGGACTTCTGTGAGGATCAAATGAGATGAGGCATGTGAAAACACTTCACAAACATTTGATTAAAGTATAAAATGTTTGCACTTGGCTATAAAGCAAGTCATGTTCCTAGGCTGAAGGAACTCCACGGTGGCTAGTCGCTAGGGAGTGGAAGCTGGGTATTGCTACATGACATCATAAACCTAGGCCCCACAGCGACCATTTCCGGGCTGGGCTGTGGGCTGCATTTTGTGGGAGTTGGCTGCGATTTGGTGGGCTGTTGCTCCAGGGTGGTGGTGGGGTCTGTTTCTCACTTGGGGGAAACCGAGTGTTGCTTTGTCAGTGCTAGGTCTATAGTCCTGTTTCTTTGGCCAGTGCACATCACGGCAGCTCCTGCATTGAGACTCTGCCCCCTGATGGTCAGTGTGCATCATAGCGACTGGTCCAATGGTCAGAAGGACACTTTGCATACTAGTCTTTTATATATATATAGATTCTTGACAGAGGCAGGCACAAAGTTGAATAACAGTGACTTCAGATTGTGTTCATTAATTCATTTACAAGTTGTATTGAGTGTGCTTTCCTATGTGTATGCATATGTTTGTGGGGGATATATAGCCAGGAATGAAAGAAATTTAGTTTCTGCCCTTGGAGTGTGTTCTACTGTGTTATATTAGTGTTTTGTACAGTCAGAGCTATAATAATTCAGAGTGAGAAAGTTTTGCTTTTTAGAGAAAATGAGATTTGTGCTGTGCTTTGAAAGAACTTTCTATGCACGCCTCAAAATCTTTCAGCTACCAGCACTGACCACTACTTCCTGTTCTTCCATCTACTTTTTGATTTTACTATAGCATCCCATTACCCCATATTCTCAAAATCTATTGAAATTACTTCAATCCCTGTCATATCTAGACCCCATAAGTTATATCTTTAACCATTATTTTGGCAAGCAATCTCGACCTCTTGGTGTTCTGTCCTGCAGCCCAACACTATAAACTTCCAACTCTTGAGCAGCCCAACTATCCTCAGCCAGGCTTGTTTTATTCCCCTAGTACAGTGTTTCCCAGACTTCTCTCCTGATGAGAATCACCTGGTGGAGTTGTTAAAATACAGAATCCCAACTAAGAAGTGGTAAACTAGAATTTTGGGAACATATAGGTAAAATTGTATTCTTAACTAGTGGAAAGCTTAGTTAACTATACACGGCTCTAGTAGCCCTGTGTATTCCCAATCAATTTCTTCCCTTCTCTTTACTGGTTTTCCTAACTGATCATCATTCTTCAGAAATGGCTTTTTTTTTTTTTAATTGAGAATATTGGTGGTATTATTTATTTATTTTAATGTGGTTAAATAGCACCCTAAACCAATGGTCACCAACCTTTTGGACCTCACGGACCACCAGTGGTTCACAAACACCTGGTTGGCGACCTCTGCTAAACTCTTTTCCTTTCTCATTGTATTAACTGCTCAAGGCTCACTCTGCCTGTTTGATTGCCTGATGAATGTCAAGTACTGTATTAGCCAGTGGTAGGGATTGCATTCCTGTATCTCACTGCTAATTCCTAGAACCCTGGTTGGCAAACATTTGGCTCTGTTGACTAATGAGTTTGCCAAACTAGAAGATTGCTGAACTAGAAGATGAGCTCCAAAAAGTAGCACCAGAAAGAACAGACCATAATTTCTCAAATATTTGTTGAAGAATGAATGATCCCCTCTCTCAGCTCTCAACTATATTCTCTATAAGTTATTCCAGCTCTCTTCTATTTGAGATGCCAATAAAGGACCCTTCCTCTGCCATGGGCTCCCTCTGCCGTGAGTTCCCTCCTGCTATCATACCTTCTTTCTCCCTTGTTCTTCAGAGCCAGGTTTCTTCCATGGGGAGTTGATGTTATTACTTTTAGACCTTTTAAAAAAATGTATAGTTCTATGGAACAGGAAATGTGCCCTGAATATCCTTGTATGTATATCGTTACTTCTTTGAGTGTGTTGTGGGCAATCAGTACGCAGCCAATAAATATGTATTGAAATGAATTGATCTTCTTTGCTTAAGAGAGGGCATTGAAGGAATTTGATCTATTTTGTTATTTTAAAAACTCATGTGAAATGTGGCTATTTATTGACATATGTGGTCTGCAACGCCCTCCAGGGGTCTTTTTCGGTTCTTTTCTATCAGTTTTAAAAGTGGCTTATTTTTGCTACAACTAGACTTGTGACTGATCCTTGCAGGTGAAGGTGGCCCTCCTGGCAGCTATGGGAACTATGGCTATGCTAACAGTGGGTATAGCGCCTGCGAAGAAGAGAATGACAGGCTCACTGAGAGTCTGAGACACAAAGTAACGGCTATAAAATCTGTAAGTATATAACATATTAGGTACTTTTAAATTTGTACATTTACATGCATATGTTATACTTTTATTGGCATCATACTAAGGAATTCACTTACCCAAATAGTGTGGTTCAGTGAGGTATGCTCAAAGTTTAGACACGATTTGAGTAGGTTTAAAAATGTGGCTACTGAACACATATGGTACATTTATCCTTTCAAAACTTAAGCGATTTTGTTTTTTGTAGTTAAATCTAAACTACTGTGTGATGTCTGTAGTAATGTCTCTGAGCAGTCCATCCTCCACACCCAGGCATCTCTGACCTTTTCTCCTATCTCCTAAGCTACAAATCTTAGCCTTCATGTTTCTACCTTTTGCTTCACAGCAATCACCAAGTCTTATGCGTCTTTTCTTTCTAAGGCTTCTTTCTATTTCTGCTTTTCCATTTCTAATACTATCCCCTGGTTCTTTATTGGAAAAGCCTTTAACCTATCTTTTCCTATTTTTTTTTTTTTTTTACATGTTTTGGTTTGAGCTACATACTGTCACCAGTCATCTGAGTGTGTTTTTAAAATTGTGTCCTGAACTCGGAGGGCTTCCCTGCCCTCCCATGATGGAAGAAAGTTCACTCTGTAGGTTGGTCAGATAGGTTCTTTAAAGATTGTCCATAACGCCTCAGACCTTACCGCCCGCGTTTTCAGAACGTGTATGTATTTTCTGCCCCACCCAGGCGTTCCCCACTCCGTGTCTTGCATCGTGCTCTCCCTCCGCCGAAGGTGTGCTCCTCTCCTTACAGTGGCCGCGCTTTTGCTGGTCCGAGAGGCTCCACTCCACTGCGCCCCTTCCTTCCTCCACACTTTACCTGATTATGACGTCATAAGTAACATTTTTCTTTATGAAAATACGACCATTTGTGCCATTTCTGTCACCCCTAATTGTATGGTGATCTGCATTGGAATTATTTGTATGTAAAAGAAATTGACTAAATGTAGAGTTTTCTGTTGTACTTATTTTTATATTCTACACAGCACCTAGTGTAATTCCTCATCAGTTGTATGAATTAAATGTATTAAATAGAGGAATGAAAAAGATGGTTTTAAAAGTGTATGAGATATATTTTGCATTACAATAAACATTCTGTACACTAACAGAACATTAAGTAGAAGCTCATATTGCCAAAACTTAATTGGCATTTCACTAGTTTTGGAAAATAGAATTGTATTTAGCCTGGAGACTATTACATTCTGAAATGAGTATTGTTTTCACAGACAAACCAAATCAAAAGGAGTTGATCTGTGAACCTAGCAATATTGTATAATATTAATACTTTAGCAAATACAACATTGAGAGGGAATTAAGAATTAGACGATTTAAAAACAACGTTGAATATTTAGGCTCCTTGTTAGAAGAAAGCTTTCGAGCTTTATATATAGTTTATTATCTTCTATTCTGATCTGTAGAATGCTGGTATGGTTTTGTGTCAGAAATACTCCTGTATTGTGTTCACACAAAATAAGCTGAGAACAATATTTGTAATGGTTTACCAAGGATTGTTTTTGTAGTTGTGATTATATTTATTCAAATATCTTGGAAATGAAAGCTTTGATGAATTTGTCATATAAAGTATTAAACAGGTTTTGGTTTGAATAGCAGCCATAAACACGCAGATTTCTTTTGGCTCAGCCTCTTTTCTGCATAGCTTTAGAATGTGGATGACAACTTGTAATTTTTTTTCTATTTGTTTTATTTAAAAAGAAACAATTTAAGCATATATTCAAAGTAATGTCAATTTCAGTAGGAAAATATTAAATATTTGTACCTTGAGTTTGAATTGATAATACAGGTAGTTATGTACCTCTTTAAAAAACATAAAGAAGGAAATATACAGATAAATACTGTTGTATGAATAATTATATAAAAAGAAAAAACATGCAAAGATATGTGAATCAGAAGTATGTACCAAAATTTAAAGCTGGAATTGAATATTAAATGAAATCCAAGTGAAGAGCAGGGGAACAATGTCCTTATTGAGAGGGAGTAAAAGTTCTAAATTTTCCATTATTATCAAATGTACCTTCTTCTGATTTGAAAATGTATCAGAAGAAGAGAGTATATTTTCTATTTCTGGCATACAATTGTTTCTGAGAAAATGTATATTTAAAATGGCATTATATTTGCTTTATAACACTTAAATACTTTTATATGAGTAGTAATGTGTATGCTTTCTTTATAGCTTTCCATTGAGATAGGCCATGAAGTTAAAACTCAAAATAAATTATTAGCTGAAATGGTAAGTAAGATTTTAACTTTTAAGACTGAGCTCTAATATTCTTAAAGTTAGTATGTCAGTCAGAAATATCATTTTTAATATATTTTATTAATTTTTTACAGAGAGAGATAGAGAGCTAGAAATGATGAGAAACATCGACCAGCTGCCTCTTGCACACCCCCAACCAATGTATAATACATGCTCTTGACCGGAATCGAACCTAGGACCTTTCAGTCCGCAGACCAATGCTCTACCACGGAGCCAAACCAGCTTCGCCGGAAATATTATTTTAATTTTTATTCATTTTGGAATAGATCTAGGGATCATATGTCCTGTATTTTAATCCATTTACATCTAATTAGTTTTGAATAACTACAAAGTTTGTCTTTGCCATATTCTTACATTTTTCATGTTGCCTAACACATAAGTATGAGGAAAAAGTAGAAACTAAGTATCTTTAAATCCTGTGTTTAGAAAGACTGTTGAAACCTTGGGATAAATGACTAGAGTGTTCTTAGAGATCTCAATGCATGTAGACTGCCAAGTAATCTAAAAGCACTTTTCATCCAATCAGCTGAATATCTTGTGCTAAATATAAGCCTGTTTTTTTTTTTGCTTGATTTTCTAAGGATCACTTCTGAACAAATCAATAGGATTTGAACATAGTAACATCTAGAACCTTTTATCTGTAAATAATCTTAGCAATATATACCTTTTCTTCTTCAAGCTACTTTCCATTCTTAAATATTTATTTTGGATGTTAAGCTCCAGACCTTTCCCAGTTTCTCCACATGTTTTTAAAACTGTATTAATATTCAAAATGAATATGTCATTGAAAGCAGTGTTCCTATGAAGGCTGTTTATTAGAATTGTGGGGTGCTTTTTGCACCCTAAATAGTTTAGGATTGTGAAGTATTCCATGGCTGAAAAATGTTTATTAGATAATAAAAGAGCTTTTTATTCATTGAGAGAATTATTCAGTTTTGCATGGAATAATAGGGCTGATCATCCAAGTTATAAACAGGTTTCTGAATTGATTAAACACTAAAAATGTCATAAAGAATGTGTTCTAATAACAGTATATCCAATTACTTAAGTCTGCATATATAGAGTATTAGAATCTAAGCATTATATTCTGTTTTTCTCTCCTCATAGGATTCACAATTTGATTCTACAACTGGATTTCTAGGTAGAACTATGGAAAAACTGAAGATTTTATCCAGAGGGAGCCAAACAAAGCTGATGTGCTATATGATGCTGTTCTCACTGTTTGTCTTTTTTGTCATTTATTGGATTATTAAACTGAGGTGATGCAAGTAAGTGTGAATTTGAAATTTGTACCAAATTAAGTGGCTTGGGATACCACTTTGGCAAAAAATCAGCATCAAAGCATTCCTCATTTTCAAATATGGCTTTTTCCATTGACAGTTATAGGATTTTACCTATTTTATAAATCACATTACATAATACAGTGCTCTTTGAATACTGTTTAATGACTCATTTTGCCCCTATTTTCAGGGGTATTGAGATAGCCAAAAGTCAGCCCAGCCCTAACCATTGTTTTTCTATTGTTTGCTGTCTCATTAAATAGCAGTAAAGTGTTCTGTTGCTATCATAGACGTAGGTTTATGTTCCATATAAAGAAACGTAGAGGGAGAATAGAATGTAGAGCCTGATGCTGAGCTCTTGCAGTGGTGAACAGGTTTGTGGTGGAATGAGAAACATATTTTCCTGAATGACATCAACCCTAATGATGATCTCTCCTTTCCTCCTTGATTTGGTTAAATTGTAGGCAGATTTCTTTTTACCTACGATGTTTTTCTAATAATTTTTGATTATATGACTCCTCTTTCCCCTTTGCCCAAGGACCTCATTCTTTAATAAATCTTATTTTGGCATATTCTAGTAGGTGTCAAACAAATGTGAACCAGTATAATTGTTATTTTATATTAACTTTATATATACCATTGACTTGGCTTAAAATAGCCTTTATGATTTTAGCTACTTAGGCCATTTGGTTATCATTTGTGACAGAATAATGTGAATAATGTGAAGCTAAAGTAATTGCTTAGCTCTGACTGGAAATAACATGTTCAAGAAAATTAATTGTCTCTGCATTATTATGTGTTCAAAATAGATAATTGAAAGTACTCAGCATTGAACTTAGGGGTAAGAGAATTGTTGTTTTAATCCAGTATGTTTGTTTATATAAAGCAAAACAAATATTGAATAGAAAGAAATATTAAAATGTTCTTAAATACACTGTATTACTATTTTGGAATTTACTCATTTATGAACTCTAAAAATAAATTTTTAATGAAATAAGTTGAACTTGTTGCTTCTTTATTCAAGTCTCTTACATTTTTTACATAAAACCTGAGAAATGGTCCTGAAAACTCAGGTTCCAAGCAAAATCAAGAAAAGCTAACACATGTGTATTATTTCGGAACTTCATTTAAACAAATGAGATAAATCATGACTGCAGTTTCAAAAATATTTATCTTTGCAGTACTTTTTCTCTAAATACCTATGTTCTGGTTGGATTTGTTATCTTTTGGGCCTCTGCCTGACAGTTAAAACACAAAAGCTGAGAGGGATTAATAACCTGACAAACCTGAGGTGTGCTGTGACACACTGGTTTGCGTTAGGTGATCTGGGTTCAAATACCCATTCCTTCACTTGCTCAGTGTTTGGGGACCTATTTCTTCATTAAATCACCCATTTCATGGGGTCATTGTGAGAGACAGATAATATATTGGAAAGCACCTTACTCATGAAAGTTACTCAATAAATGTTAGTTCTCCCTATTATTATCGACACATCAGAAAAGGGAATTATTTTAAGAGTAAGATGATAAGTTGGTTTCAGGCTGTGATGATGACAGGACCTCTAAGTGGGAATTTCTATCAAACAATTAGAGATTGATTTTTTTTTTCAAGAATTATTTAATTATGTGCTCTGTGTCAATTATGTGACAGCCAGAGCTCAGGGAAGACTTCGAAATCATTGCAATAATTAAAATTGCAAAAAGAAAAGAACAAAAGGCCAAGGAAAAATAACTGAAAGATGGAAACAGAAGGGAATCAAGAAGTAGACAAGATCAAGGCCCTAGGAAAACCAATGATAGCAAGACAAGGATGGAATTCAAGATTAAGTATTAGCTATTATAGGAAAGTAACTTTGTAAGCTATATTAAAACACTGTTAAAAGTTGGGTAGAATTATCATGAAGGAGGCAATGCTAAGGGTTTTGGGGTAAGGTAAATGTATCACTTGTTATCACTACCTTCTTCAACATTTCTTACTTTAGAATTCTTTTTAAGAAGTGCCTAAAATCAAGGCCCTAACCAGTATTTCGTATAACCCCTCTCATCACTGTTGACTGAGATTCCTGACAGCTCCAGAAAGGACCTGCCTCCGTCCCATTAGGGGTCCATCTGCGAGCACCCTTTACTTCCTTATGTTTGGGGAGCCACTAGGAAAAAAATGCTCCCAGAAATAAAACTTGGGGCAGGGAAACGTCAAATACGGAAAAGTTCTAATCCTTTATAATCCTTTACAAGCTCACTGCTAACTCCGAAAAGAAAATTATTGCTAGATGTATCTGGGAAGTTGATTCTCATAAATAAAACATTCACGTTATAGTTTTTATGCAAACCATGCAAGACTTGCAGATGTTTGGGTGGTAGGGACACAATATAAAAGTCCTGTATTTTAAACGGTAAAGCAGACTCAAAACAATTCATAAAAACCTAAACAAATCCCAAATGACTGAAATGCTCTGCAAAATATTCCGTTTCACTAAGAGTTGGTCCTTGGAAGTGTGCCAACACATTTGGAAATAATAAAAAGGTCTAACTTCTCTGCACCATCCCATACAGATAGGAGGCATAGGTCTCCACAACAAGGGAAGGACAATTGTACAAATGATCGCTAGCATTTAAATTAGCATGCACATTAATTCTTAGATACTACTTGAATAGAGATTACTTGTGAAATCTAAAACAAATAAGCAATATTTTAAGTATTTGAATTCTAGAGCAAAAAACCCTGGCACCTGCACCCATAAAAAGCTTTTGCTTCTCTGAAATGAATTAGTTTTTCTAATTATTCTATGCTCTTAAATTTCAAATCATATGTATTGAATTTGCTTCCTTGTGGAAAAAGTGCTTGATAATTTGGGTTCATTTAGTTAGTAAATAACTTCATCAGGCCACAGTGATGAATTAACTGACTAAATATTTATTGGGAAGCAAATTAGCATCATAGCTAAGACTGAAAGCTATGAAGTTATATTACCTGAGCACAAATCCTGGCTCCATTACTCATGATTATTTGGGGTTGATAACCTCGCCACTCTAGTTATTCTATTTGTAAAAGAGGAATAACAATGGAATATAAAGCAGTGATACACAATCAGAGGGTTATTGTGATAATATTACTTGTAAGGAATTTAGAAGGGTTCCTAGTACTCAATGGTACTGCATTCAGGGTAGTTGCTCAAAGTTCTCTTTTCAAACTTTTCAAATTTTAATTTATTCTTCAAAATGTAAACTACAAAAATTCATAAAACAGCATCTTAATATTTAATTTACTATGATTTTAATATGCTTGCTTTAATTTTTTGTACCTTCATATGACCTAGAATAAATCACCAGGAAATTCTAATGCAATAAAGTTTAATATAAAATATGTATGTAAGGAAGTGAAAAGAAAAAAAAAATTCTCTCATATATATTTGTTTATATATTCATATATAAAATACTGGAGAGAAAGAGAAAGAGAAAAACTTCAGTCACCTTTGTATTTATAGTCTTCAATCTAAATTATATTAAACTTTTTTGAAAGATGGCATTCCAAAGACAGGCAGTATAAAAATTTTATGTAGTTTGCCTTTTAATTAAGTGTTCAAGTAAGTGTTGGTTTATTCAACATATACTTTTGCTTTTGTTACTAGAATGGAATGATGTGTATTTTCCAGAAAACTTAATTTCTAATTGAACAATTCCTACTGGTACTAATCTATGCCAAGTTAACTCAAAATGGATTGTATTTTCATATAACCATGAGTATTTTCTCATGACTCAAATTTTTGTTCTAGTACTTACCTAGAATCGTTGTAAATATATTTCTCTTGCAGCTGTACTTTCGGGTATTTAAGACTCATTTCTTCCTAACGAATGAGTGGAGTTTTAGAAACTGTACATCTTCAAAAGATAGGTGGAGGGGGGACGAAATGAGGAACCTTTGTAATAATATGAACAATAAAGATTGAGTTTAAAAAAATAAAAATAAAAAAATAAAAAAGATATCTGTACAGTGTCTGATGACCACATATCCCATATACTGTTTTTCTATATTTTTAGAGCTATAAATTCCTAATAATAAAAGAACATGAAAATTATTCATAGAAAATAAAACATTAGCTATCGAAAATAAATTTGTTTAACTCATTTAGGAAGGATATATTTGGTGTCTACCAATAAGAGACTTTATGTTAAGTACCTGTGCTTTTTCTAGAGCACTTGGCACAATAGTAAATCCCAAGAAGTGATTGGTGAATAAATTAATGGTTCCTCCTAGAGAATATCTTTTTTTATTAACTATCATTAAAATTTTCAGTGCAGAGACTATAGAATTCCCTTAATAAAATTGTGTAGTTTGCCCTAACTGGTTTGGCTCAGTGGATAGAGTATCGATCTACAGAATGAAGGGTCCCAGGTTCGATTCCGGTCAAGGGCATGTACCTTGGTTGCTGGCACATCTTTAGTAAGGGAGTGTGCAGGAGGCAGATGACTGATGTTTCTCTCTCATCAATGTTTCTAACTATCCCTCTCCCTCTCTGTAAATATATATATTTTAAATGTATGGTTTGATTAATAGCATACCAAGTTCAGTTGCTAGCTGAGTTTCTTTGAATATTGGAAGCACAATATATATCTACTAGGTTAGTTAGGGGACAAAAATTGTTGCTAATTTAAAATTCTTACGGTTTTTTTCTTTTATAAAGCTCAGGGAAAATGGGTTAAAATGGAATGTTCTGGGGTTATAGAGCAACCAAGGACTTGCATGCATATTAGCATAACCAATGGATACAGACACTGGGGCAGTGGGGGGCTTGCCTGGGATGGGAATGGCTGGGGGCAGGAGGGTCAATTGGGAGAAAAGGAAGACATGTAAAACTTTAGACAATTAAAAAAAATCAGAAAAAAATCGAATGCTCTGCCTTACAGGGTCAAGAATGGATGCCACTTAGACTCAGGTGGCACATCTAATCAGTCTGCCACTCCTGGGTTGTCTACATTTTGCTGC